CGCGCTGAGCGGAGCAGAAAAACAAAAAAAAAGAAGCACTTTTCCGACGGCCCCTTACTGAGAGCTCCTCTCAGCGCGTGCTCTCCTGGCTAAACACATATTGCGAGGGCTTAAACGGAGCAGTGCTCGTAATGTCGAGCGAAAAAAAAGAAAGACAGCTGTGAAACATAACCAGCTTTGTCTTTTTGTAGGAAACACACTTTAGATCTTTTTAGGGTAAGAGGTTTTTGAGTCATTGCCGTCTCTAACTGAATGTGTGTCAGGAATATCGAAAACAAAACCAACTGAACCGCGCTCATTTCTGGCACCCCCCTGGATATACAGCGCCCGTAGCATTTGCCTATGGTGCCTATGCCACGGGCCGGCCCCGAGTTGGCTGAGTGTTGTAAATACCCGCGCTCGCCTCCCTCACGACAGAGCGCATATTAGATAAATGACGTCAGTACATAAAACCCGTTTATGATTATTACTGAACCAATACCGAATTGTCCGCGTCTGCATCGCGGTGCACCGAAGAAACAATTAATTTTGACACCCCTAATATATATATATATATATATATATATATATATATATATATATATATATATATATATATATATATATATATATATATATATATACATATATATACATATATATATATGACAATGACACAATGACGATGACTCAAATCATAAATATAAAGCTTCTTTGATTGGTCTCTTGTCAAGACAAGGTCTAAAACAGATCTGAAACAGTAGGGATTAGGCCAAAGGAAGGTTGTATAATTCTTCTATTTATCCACGAACTTATATTTTCTCTCTCTCAGATTTCACTCTCTGGAGCATCTGATATCACGTATCTCATACATAGGAAATGTGTTTTTTGCAACACAGGATGTCTTATTAAAAGTTGCATTGCCTTCACATGTAAATCACTTGCGCTTCATCCACGTCTGCTTACTGCACAGGCTACAAAACAATCCGCTCTACTTCCATGTAATGTAATGATTGTAAGGGCGCAGGTGAGACATAATTTTTCGAGAGACACACGTGCGCTGCGTATGCAACGTCTATAAGTCATGTAAAACAATGAGTTGCAAACTGAAATTAATATATTTTGATAATATGGTTTAGAATTTAATGTTTCATGAGATTATTTAATTTTTTTGTGATTATTCATTCATTTTCTTGTCGGCTTAGTCCCTTTATTAATACGGGGTCGCCACAGCGGAATGAACCACCAACTTATCCAGCAGGTTTTTACGCAGCGAATGCCCTTCCAGCCACAACCCATCTCTGGGAAATTTTTTTTGTGTTTATTTTGCGTTTAATTAAGAATTTTTCAGGGTCGCAAAAATTGGCAACTTTTTCTTGATTTTGCGTTGGATTCAGCGATCGCGGAATCTCAAAAACTAGGGGGTTTGTATATCACTTTCAAACTGTTAAAAATGTCAACAAAAGTCAGTTTTTCAAACTTTTCAACATCAATAGTTTTGGGGGGAAAACTCAAGATTTCATAATTCAATTCAAAAGTATAAATTAGTGAAAAAAGATGAATCACAATACATGGAAAACTGTCTAATCATAGGTATATTTTGCAGTGTACGTAGCTTGGAAAATGAAAAAAACTGTTTCACATCCATCCGTCTTATTTGAGAGATTGATTCAGATTCTGAGATTGGGATGTGGTCTAAAAGGAGCTCAGGTTTGAAGAACAGAATGCTAGTGCATTTGATCAATCCCAACAATAGCTCAGGATAATTACAGAGAAGAAAGAAAGATCTCGATAAATCCGAGAGATCCAGTAAAGTCTTCAAATCTCAGTTGGTTCGAAAGCTCCGAGTTCCGCCCCTTTGAAGTGTTTGAGATAACTACTGAAGTGTGCTGACATCGATTGGTTGAGCTTTTATGGCAAGCTGTTTTAACATTTGACTTCTTTTAATAGGTTATCGTCTACATTTATATTAGCCATTTTTATTCGTAATTAATAGTGATAAGTCAAATAGTGCTATTTAGTATTGTGTTAAAGTGTGTGTGTTACTGTAATTATACAAATAATGAGTTTTGTTTTTTACTGCTATATGGTATCAGATTCTGTGGATAAAAAAAATGAATCATATACAGATACAAGCTGTTTATTCATTGCTTACGTTGATAGAGTCAATCAAACTGATTTATGTTTTGACTATTTTTATACTATTAAATGAAAGTTGTGGTTTGTTTAACGCTAACTACTTGTTATGATGCTTCATTGAGTGGTATTATAACAAATACATGTAACACTTTAAACTAGTGTTACTTTTTCTTTTGATACTACTAGTAACAATCCAATGCTAACCTTTCGATTACACTAACTAATAACATTTTCACTGACATTGAAATCTAATGAGAGTTTAATGAGGTTCAATGTCAACGGTTCACTTAGTAGCTCTTAGTAATATAAATATCAAATAAAGATAAACATTATTTATTGGTTATTTGCAACTAAATGTATTAATTTATTAAATAATATAACTTATGAGACAACAGGATTTATTTAGCATTTTATAGCTTTGTTTTTACTCGATCAGAATCTGTATTTTAGCTTATATAGACACTATTAGTAAGATGTTAGTGGAAAAAAAATATATAATCTATAACAGATACAAACTAGAGGTAACTAAATTAGTTTTAAGAACATATGAAGAGCTCAGGGGCAAAACGCCTTTAAGTGGCATCTGAAATTTTCCTTTAAAATGGGCATTTCTGTCACGCGCCTGTGTGTAGGTTCAGTATTTTTTCACTTTATGGCAATGGGTAGGTTATTTCCATAGCCCTTAAATTAAAACAACTGAACATACCATACAGGTACAAGATGTCAACATGATGTCATATTGACGTTGTACTCGCACGTACCCCAACCTCGTGGGGACGTTGGATTTTGTTTGGAAATGAAAATTGAGTTGACATCAGAACCCATCAGCCTAACGTCAATGTCCAACTTAAAATCAACCAAATGTCAATGTCTAATTATGTTACACCTTGCCACTATAATATAAGACGTTGGATTTTGGTCACTTTCCAGCACGACCTAAAATCAACCAAATATCAACATAATTTGATGTCATTATTGGACATCAAAATAACGTTGTCCTTGCTTCAATGCTGGCTGGACATTGAAGTTTAGTCACCTGACATCATGACCTAAATCTAACCTAATAATAACGTCTTATGATGTTGTGTGCCTGCTGCGTAAACACACAGGAGAATGCTTATTTTGGGAGAAAATTTCAGATAGCACTTAGCGGCTTTTGCACCTGAACTCTTCATGCGGATATATATGTATAAACATATGAATTTTAAAATTGTGAATATACACAGCAGTCAACGTATGAAGTGGATCAAAATGTTTTAAGTAAGTTGTCCTAAAGCAATGGAACTTGTTTTTTTTATCCAATTCAAATGCTGACTACTGTAAATAAAACTGGAATAGTTACAAGCTGAGTGCGAATTACAGGGGGGTTTGGGGGGGATTGACCCCCTTAATTAACGCTTGATCCCCACTGAAAGACATCAAAACAAGATGCATGAGGGGTCAGCTCTTTAAAAGTAAGAAACAGCTTTTTTCAGTATTAGCTTGCTTAAATATTAATCATTAAAAATGTATAAATATTGTTCTAGAGCACTGATTGACATCTTAAGTATTTACAAAACACATTTCTTGTAAACTAGGTGTTTATATCTGCATGCAGCCTAAAAAAAGAAAAATCAGACATAATTTGTATAGTTTGACCTACATTAACCTCTAAAATTGTCACTAAATAGAACTCAAAACACTGAGCATGTACACATTTTATTATTAAATTAAAAGTAATTTAAATACATTCATTAATTTGACTTACTTAAGAATGTAATACCAAACTACAGAGTTTACACCCATGCAGCTAACAGGAATGTAACCTAAAAGAATGAACTGAAGTGAAGTTTTTATATTAAATAAATCCAACGCCTAGCAATTATTAAACGGATAAAATAATCGTGAAGAGTAATTGTAAATTAACGCTTGATCCCACTGCAGGACATCAAAACAAGATGTATGATGGGGGTTATCTCTTTAAAATAAAAAAGCTTTGTTCAATATTATTAATTAAAAATGTAACATATAAATGTATAGTTCCACAGCATCGATTGACATCTTAAGTATTCACAAAACACATTTCTTGTAAAATAAGTTTTGATATCTGCATGTATTTATAAAAAGAAAGAAAAATTAAACATAATTTGTATAGATTGACCAACAGTAACCTCTAATATAGTCACTAAATATACCTCAAAACACTGCAAATGTATACAGTTTATTAATAAATAAGAAGCAATTGAAATACATTCATAAATTTGACTGACTGAAGCATGCATTACCAAACTACCGAGTTGACAGTCATCAATGTATAATTCACACACTGGTTACAAGTAACAGGGATGTAACCTAAAAGAATGAACTAAAGTAAAGTTGGTATAGTAAATAAATACAATAGTCTAGCAATTATAAAACGGATAAAATAATTGTAAAAAAAAAAGTAAAAAAAAGTAAAAACCGCTTGCCATACACCATCGGAGTGATAAATGTGACAGCGCAAACTGAAGAACGAGCGCTCTTCAATAAACTATTAACATTGACTGTTTGACTGAAGAGATCGAGTCTGCACTTCACCAAGTATTAGTCCCACACATTCATACAGCAGAAATACTAACATACAGATGCCTCAATGCATGGACATAAACTTAAAGATAACAATCCTGTTCATCATGGTTTAGGGTAGCTCGCTGGCTCATTAAATCTCACGTCCATTACCTGCCAGCGAAAAATTCCGAAGTGTTATTATTTTAGGAAAACCAGAGACTCACAGAAACAAACGCAAACATGCAGTAGTTTCGTTTCGTCCAGCACTTCTGAGCACCAACTGCTAGATGTCTGCACCTCAACATTACTTTAGCGTTAAGATAATAGAAACCATATTTCCCCGGAGTCAAACTCACCTAGAGACAGGAATGGTTTGGTTTCCATATTAGCGCATGCCAGCTCTGTTTCTTGTGGATAATGATTTATTTCCCCAGTGGGCAAGCTGTAAGATCCAGTAGGAAACGCCGGCGGAGCGAACGCCAGAGATCCGCTGTCAAAATCCACTTAATATCACTAAAGTATCTACTTCAGTCGGCTCCATCCAGTTTGTAACTCCGCTCTCTCTCTCTCTCTCTCTCTCTCTCTCTCTCTCTCTCTCTCTCTCTCTCTCTCTCTCTCTCTCTCTCTCTCTCTCTCTCTCTCCTTTACTACTCCTTCAGAGCTCAAGCTCTGCCTCAGCACAGGGGCCCCGCCGAGGGAGACTCCGACCAACAGCACTTACGCGACTTACGCAGCGACAATCAGAAACTGGTAGTAGCGCCAGGGGCGGACTGGCAATCTGGCAATTCTGGCAAATGCCAGAAGGGCCGGACCATTTTTTAAAAAGTGGGCCGGTCAGTTTAAAAAAAAAAAAAGTTTTTATTTTTTATATGAATTGTTTTTACATGCAGGTAGCTTTTATCTCGTGCAAGATGTGAATATTATGATGACGATGATTATAGTAATAATAATAATAAAAATAGTAAATGTTAAGCCAAGTGTGCCGCAAGCCTACGTTTGAGTGAAGGTTTCGGCCGTTAGATCGCCCCCTGGGGGCTGGCTGCAGTACAAGTCATAAAGCCCGCCTCCTCTGTGTTAATGAAGGAGACTTGAGCCCATATAAAAAAAATTATTACACTTGCAATAAAATGTCCCGAAAGATAGTTCTGGTCGATTAAGGCACTGGTTATTGTGCTGAAATAGGTGCAGATCTTCATTTTTGTAAACAGTTTGTTTTTAGCAGTAATTTAATGCTGGGCGTGTCATCGTGATTGACAGCTGTGATTGACAGTTTCTCAAAGCGCGGCGTCGACTGAAGCTTCGGCAGGAGACTGAAGTAGACTGAAATGTTATTATTCGATTTCTGTGTTATTTTACCATGACAAAATGAGTTCAGCAGTAAACTATAGTTTCTGACATACATGATCCTGGTGGAACACTGTTTATTCGCTAAGTTCAGGGCTTTTTTCGGGCTTTATTAGTTTGCTGATACACGCCTAGCCACCCAGATAGCAAAACACAGTTCCGGCTAGATTCTCGCCTGCCGGAGACTTATCTCTTAGAGCTCAGACTGACTAATGTTACCTCTGCTGGACCTACTCCGGATGCCTGGACTCACTGCCCGATTCCAGTCCGAGTCAATCGAGCCAGATGCGGCGGCCGAGCGAGCAGGCGCTGCCGCCTGCGAGCCGGAATCAGCCCGCGACGCCGCGAGTAAGTTATACGCTGCGGCCTGGAGCTGGCGCGATTGAATGTATAAAACCCTCATATTTGTTAACGTTATTACATCCATTTGTGTTGATATGACAGCAAACGCATGCTGAGAAGTTCGGGGGGCGTAGTTGATTTTACATAAAGCGTTTGATTGGAAGCTCGACTCTGCTCATTTTCGCGGCTCCTCCTCTGGCTCCATCAGACAATCCTTCTGCGCATGTCTGGCTCCAATTTCAGCAGTCTTTTGCGACAGTTTGTGCCCGTCAAGCAGGCGTTTTGCCCTCAAGGCGTTCAATGGGAAAAAGGGCTGTCGCGTCGTCCATATTTTTTACAGTCATTGTGTTAAGCATTTGGCCCAATCTGTGATGGCTGGCTGGTTTTAGGAGGGGCCGACCCAATCAGAGGTTACGCGGACGTAATCAAAATCTGGCATAAATGTCAAACAAACAGTAAGTGCAACACAAGCTAAGTGTCAGAGATCGACCGTGAAAAAAACGTGCAAAAAAGGGCTCTAAAATCAGACGCTGCCAAATGCATGAAGTTAACTGAAATATTCTCAAAAAGTTCAAATTCGTCTGCTGCATTAGTGGACAGTATCGCCGTAGAGGAGGTAAGACGAAAACAGAAAATATACTTCTAAGTCATTACACTAACATATACTAAGCCATTTTGACGCCATTCACACTACTTCTGACATTAACCAATACTGTGTTTAACAGTAAGCTTAGCGTAGAACTCCCGTACATTTTAAAATGTTATTATAATGTGAGATCTTGGGTATAAACTGCTGTATGCTACTGTACTAGCAATATTGTCTAACATGCCTAAAAAAACATAGCTATAGCCATAATACTGTAGGCTTTTGTAGTGAACTCTAAATACATAGCTAGTTTCTAAAGTAAAACATTAAATACATGTACAGGTTACAGTGTGTAATTAATCCTTAGGTAGGGGTGGAGAGAATGACAACACTGCAGAGAATGACATATATTGTTATTTGTGAATAAAAGTATGCTAGTGTTGCATGTCCATTTGTGTGTGTGTGTGTGTGTGTGTGTGTGTGTGTGTTTGTAATACACATTCACAGGTAACGGGTTGTTTTTGTTCCAGTCACATAAATTAAATGTTTAAATGTCTATTACATATGGTACTGCTTATATTATTTCACCATCTGTACACCAATATAAGTAGTGAATGTGCGTGTCCGTGATTGGGGCTGTATCGCTGTGGTAATGTGGGCTGGTGTGGCTACAGTGCCAGGGCTGAATTTTTGTCCCAGTCCGCCCCTGAGTAGCGCATTACGTTTGCCTTGTTACATTTACTCAGACTCGGCGCCAGGATGTCATAACTGAGGCGGCATTTTAATCCCATAGAGGGGCACTGGACCTGGTGACTGATTTGGTCCCTGCTGTTTCTTTCATTTCAGCTATTTATTCACTTATTTATTATTACTTTGGCATTAATATACTTTTTATAGTAATAATACTCCTTTGAATTCCATGCAGTCACCATTATCCACCCCTTCTACATAAATGTGGTTGTCATCTACCGCCCACCAGGTAAATTAGGTCACTTCCTAGATGAACTGGATGTTCTTCTCTCATCTTTTTCTAATTTTGCCACTCCCTTATTGGTGCTAGGTGACTTCAACATTTACGTTGACAAACCGCAAGCTGCAGACTTTCAGACTTTGCTTGCCTCTTTTGACCTAAAAAGAGCACCTACTTCTGCTACCCACAAATCAGGTAATCAGCTAGACCTTATTTACACACGACACTGCTTCACTGATCAAACAATAGTAACTCCACTACAAATATCTGATCATTTCCTTCTGTCTCTCAACATCCACATTACTCCTGAGCCGCCACACACTCCAACACTGGTTACCTTTCGCAGAAACCTACGATCTCTCTCACCCAATAGACTATCCACCATTGTTTCAGACTCTCTTCCTCCATCTCGCAAACTCACTGCACTTGATTCGAACAGTGCCACTAATACACTCTGCTCCACACTAGCATCATGTCTAGACCGATTATGTCCTCTTGCATCCAGGCCAGCCCGTGCCAGTCCTCCTGCACCCTGGCTCTCGGATGCTCTCCGTGAGCATCGCTCAAAACTTCGGGCTGCGGAGAGAATTTGGCGGAAAACTAAAAATCCTGCACATCTCTTAACATACCAAACTCTTCTGTCCTCTTTCTCAGCTGAGGTTACTTCTGCAAAGCAGACGTATTACCGTCTGAAAATCAACAATGCCACTAATCCTCGCCTACTTTTTAAAACATTTTCCTCCCTCCTCTATCCTCCTCCTCCACCCGCATCCTCCACACTTACTACTGATGACTTTGCTACATTCTTCTGCACCAAAGCTGCAAAAATCAGTGCTCAATTTGCTGCACCTACAACAAACACACAAGATACAACACCAACACCACACACACTCACCTCTTTTTCTCAGCTCTCTGAGTCTGAGGTGTCCAAACTTGTGCTATCTAGCCACGCAACCACCTGTCCACTCGATCCCATTCCCTCTCATCTCTTGCAAGCCATCTCTCCTGCAGTCATACCAACACTGACTCACATAATTAACACATCTCTTGACTCTGGTTTATTCCCCACTACATTTAAGCAGGCTAGGGTAACCCCACTGCTAAAGAAACCCAACCTGGACCATACGCTACTTGAAAACTACAGACCAGTATCCCTGCTTCCATTCATGGCCAAGATTCTGGAGAAAGTAGTGTTCAATCAAGTCCTGGACTTTCTTACTCAAAACAATCTCATGGACAACAAGCAATCCGGCTTTAAGAAAGGCCACTCAACTGAGACTGCCCTGCTCTCGGTCGTGGAGGATCTCAGACTGGCTAAAGCAGACTCTAAATCATCAGTCCTCATTTTGCTGGACTTGTCAGCTGCTTTTGACACTGTCAACCACCAGATCCTGCTATCTACGCTTGAGTCACTGGGCGTTGCGGGCACTGTTATACAATGGTTCAGATCTTACCTCTCTGACAGGTCATTCAGGGTGTCTTGGAGGGGAGAGGTGTCCAACCTACAGCATCTAAACACTGGGGTACCTCAAGGCTCTGTTCTTGGGCCACTTCTCTTCTCCATCTACACATCATCTCTAGGACCAGTCATCCAGAGACATGGATTCTCCTACCACTGCTATGCTGATGATACCCAGCTATACCTCTCTTTTCATCCTGATGATCCCTCGGTTCCAGCTCGTATCTCAGCCTGCCTGTTGGATATTTCACACTGGATGAAAGATCATCATCTTCAGCTGAACCTCGCAAAAACGGAAATGCTTGTAGTTTCTGCCAACCCGACTCTACACCATAACTTTTCAATCCAGATGGATGGGGCAACCATTACTGCATCCAAAATGGTGAAAAGCCTTGGAGTAACGATTGATGACCAACTAAACTTCTCTGACCACATTTCTAGAACTGCTCGATCGTGCAGATTTGCACTCTATAACATCAGAAAGATCCGACCCTTCTTATCTGAACATGCAGCTCAACTCCTTGTTCAAGCTCTTGTTCTCTCCAAACTGGATTACTGCAACTCTCTACTAGCTGGGCTTCCAGCTAACTCTATCAAGCCTCTTCAACTGCTCCAGAATGCAGCAGCACGAGTTGTCTTCAATGAACCTAAACGAGCACATGTCACTCCGCTGCTAGTCCGTTTGCACTGGCTGCCAGTTGCTGCTCGCATCAAATTCAAAACTCTGATGTTTGCCTACAAAGTGACTTCTGGCCTAGCACCTTCTTATCTGCACTCACTTCTGCAGATCTATGTGCCCTCCAGAAACTTGCGTTCTGTGAATGAACGTCGCCTCGTGGTTCCATCCCAAAGAGGAAAAAAATCACTTTCGCGAACGCT